TAAATTGTTAAATAAATGACTATAATGAAACTATTGTTTTCAATAAATACTTTAAAACGTGGATAGTATGGCGAATTGGTATTTAAATTAGTCATTTTATTTTGTATAACGAAAGATTGACAAATAATTAATAAATTCGTATAGAAAATTTATTAAAATTTAATATGTATTTTTAAATTGTTTGTATTATCAAATTAAAGGGAAAATAGTTACATAGAAACAACATTTACTTTCACTTCGAAATAAACATAAAAAAAAGGCACATATCATTTTCATAAAGTTTGATTTATTTTAGACCATTTATGTTAAATAATAGTTATTCACTGTGCATATTGTATATGTATTTGTAAATGTATATATGTACAATATTCTTCTAGTGTACATTTATTATGACTCCGAAAACTATTTTTAAGTATTATGAAGTACCATGAAGGGATTACAATACAATAAGTGTACAAATATCTTTCGTAATAACAGACATTTATGTACACTGAAGTAATATAATATAATGCACACATGTGATTTCTGAAATCACCATTTAGACTGCATAATGCAACCTTTTTTGTAGGCACGTTGCAAGGCAAATAGAGTTTTTTTACATGCTTCGAGACTCGGAAGTTTAAAGTTAAATTTTTATAATTGAATGTAAAAAGAAATCAATGCAAAGTATAACGTACTATAAAACGATACACAGTAATAATCCTGGACAATGTCATCATTGCATTGAAATATAAAATTTGCTACAAGTAAAAGCTGCATAATCGAAGGATTTGATCAATACAAATAGCGAAAAGTTTTCGTTAAGTATTTGTTTTGTTCACTATATTGTAATGAGTTCCTTCTGCAATAAAGCAGATATCTTTTTTGGTACATCGTATGAACTGAATAACAAAGTTGACATCTTATTAAATTAGTATTTCAACATTGAATCATATGACTTTTCCACGCAAACTGAACTTTTCCTTAATAAATACCGTAGTAAACAACATTCATAATTTGTTATGGTGTACGGATGCTGTACAATTTATATAACAAAAAATGAGACTTAAGCTATTATTTGCACCTGTAAAAGGAGTGCGGAATCATACAGATTATATTTGTTTTAATTCATGATTAAAAATTGTGCTTTGTCTCATAGACAATTGAATAGTATGCTGTACTTTACATTTCTTATTGTAATTATATTACAGTATCAAAAGTCAATCAAATATTATGCTTATCTGACTCCATTAATTTGTAAGCATTGTAGCTCACATTACACAGCAATAATATTATGCTTATAAATTATCTGTTATTCATAATAACAAAAAAATGTAAACTGAGCAAATTACTGTGAATTCTTGTAATTTAAAACAATAAATTTGAACTTCTTAGGGTTTCTATCACACATGTTATTTTTACTGGAATAAACTATCAGTTCAAATTTTAGTCGTTTACGACTATGGCAAAGCATATTCCATTTTGTTTTAGATCTAACAATTATATGTGATTTACTTTTAACAATATCCGTTATCTATCATATCATTGCGTTCGAAATTCACAGTTTACAATATGCCAACTAAAAAATAAAAACAAGTTTTACTTGGTAGTATTATACTGAAAAAAATTGATAAACCGAATCCCGATTCATTTAGTTCGGTCAAGTAACAATAAACCACATTACTTACAGCAGGTCAGAATAATCGACTGCACGCACTCATGAGGGCAATCAATTATCCAGGCTTGATTTACAGCCTTAAATTAATTGCAGAAAATCAGCCTGCAGAAGGTATATTATGAATTTTAAAATGAAAGTTCATGATGAAGTGAAAAATGGAAAGTATGCTTTGAAAAATTTATAAAAAACGATGTCTCAGGTTTTATAATTGCATATTGCACGTATCTACGAGAACACAATATAATGCACTTAATAAATGTATATGTAGTAATAAATGCTTCAACTAAATTTGAAGGGCCACGTCTTATAGTATTGTCAAAGCTGCATACATTTTTCTATACGTTGCAAAAACACTTAACAACCTTATTTATAAAACATTCGATCTGCTTACCAAGGATACATTCAAACTACAGATAGAAGAAAATATATTTTAAGTTCGCACGTGGTAAGGATATTAGTACTTTAACGCGAAGTACGATTAAATAAAAGTCTTTACAATATTATGCAGATTTACTATCTATTAACTAGTTGACATTAAAACTTATTAAATAGACTTTGTACTAATGTTCTAAGTACCTACGCAGTTTCTTTAATTAAAAATTTAAAGAAATTATAGATTTTTTTAATTTACATTTATCAAATGATA